TAATATATATGAAAAATCTCTCAAACCAGCAATTTAATTTTGCAAAAATGTAATCTGAATGAATGTCACATTAATTACCATACGAATTTTGGAATGGTAAAATTAAGTTGGGTATTTTTCTGAAACACTTAAGATGAAATTATTTTGCTGTTAACATAAGACTAATACAAAATTGCTATTTCATATAGACTGGACATCTCACAGGTTGTTCAAAAAGGGTTTGATGTGGAAAGATCCACTTTAAAAATGGAAACATACTATTTGGACTTGTCTTATTGCTATATTTTGGGTTGAAATCCACAGGATCATTATTAACATGAGTTTAGGTCAATCATAGCTAGCTGAGGAGGTATATGTTATGTTTGGTTATATCCCCAGGATTTGGAATCTGGCCATTATCAGGAATTGTGGGGTTTTCATGCATGAGGAATGGATTTTGTGATGTCTGTTAACCATCTAAATTAGTATTGCTTTTAAACAAAACTGTAATGAAGACTTTTCAGCAATTGGGTTTAAATTTTTTGAATATTTTGTAGCCTTTTATTTTTTTCCTTTCTTTTGCTGGCTACGTGTCAATGTCGTATTATTTTTATGTATGCCTATATTTTTCAAAAATTACATTAATTTGATACTTTCTTTAAAAAATAATAAAGAATAACTTGTTACTGAAAATCAACAGTTTTGCTGCTGAATTTCACTATAAATTCTGTAAGATGTCCAGGACTGGGTGCTTTATAAAGACCACAGGTCCCAAGTCCTCATATATATTTTTTAAAAGAAGCAAAAATAATCTAGGGACCTTATAAGGAATAGGGTTAGATCTGGCCAGAAATAAGTTTCCAATTTCTCTATCACATCCAACAGAATTTGACCTAATGGATAAGGGATAGGATATATTTCAGTATCTCATAGATACTTTATAATGAGCATAATGCTTTCACATTTTGAAAAGCAATTGCAGAAAAGGATTTGTATATTTCTAAAGTTTACAGTGGACAATGTTTATTAAATGTTATGTTCTAATACCGAGATATCCTTTAATAACAGGATCAGAAAATATCCCTAAAATAAGTTTAGCAACATGAAACCGATCACATAAAATTATTAAAAATTGTTCAATGCAAAATTGGACCAAATCTCACAAGATTTCAGGCAATTTTATGAAGGTTGAGAATATGCAGTAAAAGCTTGTAATGGTTGCCGATACACATTTGCTACATCACAAAGAAATCAGTTTACAAAAAATATATTTTAACTATCAAATAGATATTTGTTCAATACTTAATTATACAATTAGCATGACTTAAAAGCATTTACTTAATTTCCAGGGATTTTATATCTGTCTGCATAAACAAGGTTCATTTTATTAACTTGATACCATGCAGGTTTTTAACTGTATTTACTTACATTATCTTCTACATTCTGAAGATTTTAGACTCTAAGCTATTTAGAGATCTGTCTGGTAAAAATGCCTTCACAATTCCACCTGCATTGGCTCAGCAATAAGTTTAAAATATGAATATGCAGACATATAAAATCTACAAAACATGATAGAAGAATCAATAGGATAACTTTTAAATCTGTAGATATTTGAAATGAAAATGTAGTGTTAGATGCAAAATGAATCTTATTTACTAATATTAAGCATAAAAGGTATATATAAAATTTTCAGTATCTAAAACAAGATACATAAATCATGTGATATACCAAAAATAAATTCTTAGGTGTATGAAGAGTAATAGAAATAAATTACAATATGATGTAATAACTCAAAATAATACAAATAAGAATCAATATTCCACTTCATCATAGGACCCCAAGTCTTCTCTCCACAACTCCCTCATTTCTACTATAAACTAAATATGTAAGAAAAAAGGCTATATACATTCCCGTCATCTAGTAATAAGATTGCACATATCTTCTACAGGTATCTCAGAAAATAGCTGCATTTTTCTTTTGGCAACCCAAAGAGAGCCAAAGCCAATGAAAGTAAGAGAAAAGAATCCTACACCTAACACAAATAAACTACCAAGAAATCCCCCACAACTGGAGGTGTTTTACAAGTAATAGGGCATTTACCCTCAATCCATGAAACAGTGAATATGGTATATGCTAGTATACCTCTAAATCTTTATCTGTGGAGATTTCAAACGATACTACTACCATTAGAAGAAATTAACAGCATAGTTTTTCAAATATGCTGTTAAACTTAAGAACTTGACTTCAACATTAAAATGCCATCTTGGGATTTCCTGGCTCACACCTATATGAAACACAAGATGCGGCGCATAAACAATGGGAAGTTGCCATCAATCATGGTTTCCCTTTCAAAAGGCGGAGTTTTAAATTGGATCTCAGCATCTCACCTCTCAAATCCCATTAAGTTTTCAGTCCAACAGCACAACCGTGCTTCAAATAAAGGATTTGCCTCCGCAGCCTTGAAATGGCCCAAAATCACAGGACTATTGTTTGCTTTTCCTACTAACCCTACTCATGGGATGCGATCTTTGCCTGTCGGCTGCAAACATACTCTCTGCATACTCGGCTTACTTGGACAAAGCAGATGCCTAAACTCCTAAACGCTTGTGGACATTAATACTGGGCTTCCACAAAACCAGGATCCAAGTTGTGTTCTGGCTGAGCTCCAAGACTTCTCTCTCCCATCCCGGGACTACCCCGCGTAACAAGATGTTAATCTAATGCCTCATCTCACGCCTCGGGTGACAGGAGGGAAGGCTTTGCGCGGGAGGAATATTGCTCTTTTGGGCAATTAATTCCCCTCCCGGCACAGAATTACTGTTTATTCCTTTGGTTGGCAACCACCGAGCAGAATCAAGCCCGCAAAACACTCTTCTCCGTCCCCATTCGACCTATTCAGGGACCGCCGCGGCGCGCCGTTTTCTCTTACCCGGATTACAGTGCAACGGCGAAGGCGGCGCGGAGACCGGCGAAGAAGGCGCCGAGGACGGCTGGAGCAGTGGCGGCGGCGGCGGCAGCGGCGGATCTTTGGGGCCGCAGCAGCCGCCGCCGCCCGGCGAAGGGGCTGCGGGAGGTGGCAGCATGAGGTAGCGATGAGGAGAAGGTAGGCAACGCTGACAGAGCGAGTGAAGGCAAGGAAGCAGCTTAGGCCGCCGACTCTGAATGTGTTGTCCGCACACCCCACAAGTGTCCAAGAGATTGAGGCGAGACTCTCCGTTGGCTCGGTCCGCAGGGCCTTGACGGCTTTCAGCCTCGTTCTCCCCACCCATAGCGAGCGGACCAGCCAGACAGGGCCCGGCTACCGTAGGGGACTCGTTCATTGTTTGGAGAAGGAAGAGCTGTCGGTGGCAACCGCACCAGGCGCTTAAGCGCCCCTCGGGGCAACTGCCGCTCTCCCTCGGGGGCGTTCGGGGGAGCCCCGCCTCTTCAACGGTCGCCTCGAGCGCCCCTCCGTTGCCACCTCCAACCGCTCTCGAAGGAACTTCGGAAGAGAGCGCTCGCGCTCGCAGCAACACCGCCAACGGCCTCCAAGGCCCCGCCCCCTCGACGAGCCTTTCCAGTGTCAGAGGCACAACCCGCTCTTTCATCGCCACGCCCCTTCCCTGCTCATCATCCAAGGCAAACCCCTCCCCTTTTATCCTCCGGGTTCCAGTCCCTCTGAGCGTTTTGTGCCCTTGGGCGCGTTTTTTCTTATGGAACGCTCTCATTCGAGGAGAGCGAAATTCTTCCGTTTCGTTCAGCTCAGCCACGCCCCCTTTCGTATTGTCCTAGTTATTGCCTGCCCCGTCAATAGTTCCTAGTTTCCTGTTTGCTCAGTTCGGGTGCCTCCCTTTTCATTTATCCCGCTTCGAGTTTTTCTCTTCGTCCCAGAAGCTTTTTTTTTAACACTTAGTTTAAAATGTAATGAAAATGGTGAACCAACTCCCCAATCTTCTGAGGCACTACTTTATACTAAGATCCAGGATTTAGTTATTTTATGTTATTCTGAGAAAGGAGACATTAGCATTGGTATCAGTGATGATAATTTTTAAACTAAATAAAACTCATCTGCATTATCAGATAAAATAACATAAATAATTTGCAGAAACTACGCACAAACTAACCATGTTTTAGTATAACTTTTTGCAGCAATCCAATTCATATGGTTAGTTTATGAACCAGTGTGTGCCCTCTAAATCTAGAATATGCTATGGAATAAACCATGGTTTATCTGGTTTACTAATCCGGATTAAAAATTGGAAGAATAGAATAGAATTCTTTATTGGCCAAGTGTGGTTGGACACACAAGGAATTTGTCTTGATGCAAATGCTTCCAATGTACATAAAAGATACATTCGTCAGGGGTCATCAGGTACAACAATAATAGTCATAGGGTACAATAAGCAATCAAATCATACTAGTAAACAGTCCATATAAATCGTAAGGATACAAGCGACAAAGTTACAGTCATACGGTCAGAAGTGGGAGGGGATGGGCAATAAGGAGTGATGAGAAGATTAATAGTAATGTAGACTTAGAAAATAGTTGGACAGCGTTGAGGGAATTATTTGTTTAGCAGAGTGATGGCATTTGGGGAAAAAATTGTGTCTAGTTGTTCTGGGGTGCAGTGCTCTATAGCGTCATTTTGAGGGAAGGAGTTGAAACAGTTTATGTCCAGGATGTGAGGGGTCTGTAAATACGTTCACAGCCCTCTTTTTGACTCGTGCAGTATATAGGTCTTCAATGGAAGGCACGTCGGTAGTAATTGTTTTTTCCGCAGTCCTAATTATCCTCTGAAGTCTGTGTCTGTCCTGTTGGGTTGCAGAACCAAACCAGACAGTTATAGAGGTGCAGATGACAGACTCAGTAATTCCTCAGTAGAACTGTATCAGCAGTTCCTTGGGCAGTTTGAGCTTTGTGAGTTGGCACAGAAAGAACATTCTTTGTTGTGCTTTTTTGATGATGTTTTTGATGTTAAGTGTCCAATTTTAGGTCTTGTGAAAATAGAAGAGGAGTTCCAGCAGCAAAACGAATGGTGGCAATAACTGCCCTATTGGAAATCCTGGAACACCATACTAGGAGCTAATTATGTGCCTACTTCTTTAAAAGAGCTATTCACTGCCATAGCAGAACCTCTAAACATAATCTTTGAAAAATCTTTCAGGACCAGCTCCTTGCCAAACCTATGGTCACAAGCCATGGTCATCCCCATCTTCAAAAAGGGAGACCCCAGCCCAGTTGAAAATTACAGACCAATCTCTTTATGCTGTGTCACCTGTAAAGTTATGGAATCAATTATTAACCAATCCATTATCCTCCACTTAGAGACAAACAACCTACTATCTAATAAACAATTTGGTTTCAGAAAAAAACTATCCTGTAATCTGCAACTCTTACACTGCAAAAACATATGGACTACACCAGGGGTCCCCAACCACCGGTCCACGGACCGGTACCGGTCCGTGGAACAAGTCCTACCGGGCCGCTGGCTTGCTGGGCGCCGCCATCTTGTATTAATGAAAAAGTGCTTCCAGTGAGCTTTTCCGGGTAGAAAGCTCACCGGAAGCACTTTTTCATCAAAACAAGATGGCGATGCCCAGCTGATGTCGGTACCAGGCCGCGCCATAAAAAAGGTTGGGGATACCGGGCCGCGGCGTAAAAAAGGTTGGGGATCACTGGACTACACAACTCGATCAGGGCAATGCAATAGACACAATCTACATAGACTTCTGTAAAGCCTTTGATTCAGTGGTATACGACAAACTACTCCTAAAACTAAAATCTTATGGTATCTCTGGACACCTGCATAACTGGATAAAAGCATTCCTGTCAAACAGACAACAAATGGTCAAAATTGGGAGCATCCTATCAAATTCTGTACCTGTCAACAGTGGTGTCCCCCAAGGCAGTGTTCTAGGACCAACTCTCTTCATACTTTACACAAATGACCTCTGTAATCATATTAAGAGCAACTGCATTCTCTTCGCTGATTATGTAAAGCTATTCAACACCACAGACTGCTACCCTTCAAAAAGACCTCTACTATGTATCAGAATGGTCAAACAAATGGCAACTTCAAATCTCAACTAATAAATGCTCTGTCTTACATATTGGCAAAAAAAAATCAGAAAATAAAATACAAGCTGAATAGTCAAGACCTTGTTGATGATCCAAACTCTGTCAAGGACCTTGGAGTACTTATCTCTAATGATCTAAGTGCTAGAGCCAACTGTAACTACATAGCCAAAAAGGCATTAAGAGTTGTTAACCTAATCCTACATAGCTTTTTCTCTGTTAATATCACACTACTAACTAGAGCATACAAAACATTTGCTAGACCAATACTTGAATACAGCTTATCAGTCTGGAACCCACATTACCTATCTGATATTAACACAGTTGAGAAAGTCCAGAAATATTTCACAAGAGGAATTCTCCACTCCTCTACTCATTACAGAATACCTTATGTCACCAGACTTGAAATTCTAGAAAACCTAGAACTACGCTGCCTTTGGTCCGATCTAAGTATAGTATATAAAATCATACATTGCAATGTCCTACCTGTCAATGAATACTTCAGCTTCAGCCATAACAATACAAGAGCACACAACAGATATAAACTCAAGGTAAACTGCACCAAATTTGATTGCAAGAAATACGACTTCAGCAACAGAGTGGTCAATATCTGGAATACTCTGACTCTGTGGTTTCTTCCCCAAACCCCAAAAACTTTAACCTTAGACTGTCTACTATTGACCTCACCCCTTTCCTAAGAGGTCTGTAGGGGGCGTGCATAAGCGCACCAATGTGCTTACCGTCCCTGTCCTATTGTTTCTTTTTATTTCTCTTATATGTATCCATTTCATGTATTCATAACTATGTTTATACTTATACCTGTTATCTTATAATCGCTTGACAAACAAACAAACAAACAAATAAATAAATAAATAAATAAATTATCCTGGGGGCGGGAAATCTATCGATGTAATCTCTAAGAGTAGATATGACTTGATTGCACTCAAGCAAACCATGATTATCTTTCTGTTTTGCTCAGATTATTTTAGCTGCTATTCCAGAAAGAATTGGTCTAGTAATAGCCCATACTTTATGTATATTTATATTTTTTTGCTCTTGGGCTGCCATTACAGTAGGATTTCAAGACATTCTACACAGTATTATATATTGAGATTGAATTCTGCTCAAACCCTGTTCCTACATAAGAGGAAATCTAAATATAATCAAATATCACAATATATTATTAGTTATGATTAGATTCCATTTAAATTAATAAGAAACATGAATCATGACTAACAAGACTAACAAATCCTTTGATTTCAAAAGAATTCTCAGTCTGATTCTAACCCTTAAATCATTTGCTTTTCTACCCCTTTCCCTTTTGTTAAAGTTATCACTTTTTTAACTCTGCAATTTGAAAAACCAAAAAGAAAAGGTAACTTAAGGGAAAAGTCAAAAATTATTTTAAGATGTAAGGGGTAACCCAGTTTCAGGTACATAGAAATCATAAAATCAGGCAAACTTTGCATGTTATGGATTTTATTCTATTCCTTAGTTAATTAGAAATCATCGCAAAACAAAGTCTAACCCAAAAAAAAAGTCTAATCGTCTAAAAGTCTAATCCTACATATAGGACCTGCAGATATTCATGGTGTTGTTTCGATTTGTGAGTGTACCAGTTGTTACAAGTATAATTATTGGGTTTCTGCTACAGTTTTGTTGCGGTCCCCCATTAGTATGTCATCAACAGTGGGGAAAACATCTATTTAGCACTGGCACCAGAGCAGAAATGGGATACATCTGACTAGATTCCACCTCTTCATTTTTAGGCTAGCTTGGAAACCTCTCCTCCTGTCTGCCACACCAAAATGTGAGCATAGGACTTTGAAAGCAATAAACACGCAAGTGAGGTTAAAAACTAAGCAAGACAAGGCATGGAGCCAAAGCTGACAAGATTAACTCAGACAAAGAAAACACCTAGGATTTGCATTTCCTCTTTTGCCTGCAGAGCCAGCCTTGACCCCATAGGAATCTGGCAACAGCCTTTAAAATATTAAAGGACATATTCTTGCACAAAAACAGGCTCACAAAGCCCAAAAGAATATATAAAAACCCACTTACTCTCAACCCCATTTTTTCAGCTACCCCAGAAACATGCTGCTCTCACTGAAGTTTCTAGCTACCAAATAAACAGATATCTTCTTTCCTGCAGTCTTCCTCCATTTTATTTCAGTGTCTTTATCCCAGCTTAGAACCGGACCAATTTTTCTTCCAACACTATATAGCACCTTTTCTGGATAGGTCTAAACCAGTGGTTGCCAGTGGTCTGTGAAAATTTTTTGGTGGTCCGCAGAGAAATGTCACCCCAAAGCACCCCCCCAAAGCAATTAATCCAGGCTGCACAGGAACACAAGGCTGCACCGCCCACATGGCCCATGGGAACACAAGGCTTGCATCACTTGCATTGCAAACAGTGCAAGGTGGTGAGGGGAGGGGGGAGAGGGCAGAGGGGGGAAACTTGCCCCACTCACCCCACGCGCCTTGCCTGGCCACCGGGCTGCTTCTTTCTGCTTCTTGCTTCTTCTGCTTTTGGCTGCATGAAAGGAAAGCAGCAAAAGTCTTTCTTTCTCTCCCCCAAACTCCACCAGAAATGAGTCCTTGGGACCCTGCAAGGCATCCTGCTCCAAGAGGCTGCGCCATTCTGCCAGAGTTTGGGGGAGAGAAAGAAAGACTTCTACTGCTTCTTCTGCTTTCCTTGCATGAAGCCAAAAGTCTTTCTCTCTCCTTCTGGGAAATGGAGTTGGAAATGGTATCCTGCGATCCCAAATAAAGGATGATCAATCAGTGGGAAAACGGGGTGGGAAATTTTCCTGCAGACTTTTGGGTGATTTTCCAAGGGACACTGCAGGAAAATTCCCCACCCCATTTTCCTACTGATCGATTATTCTTTATTTGGGATCACAGGATACCGTCTCCAGCTTCATTCTCAGGGGGAGAGAGACACAGAGAGACTTTTAGCTTCATGCAAGGAAAGCAGCAGAAGTTTTTCTTAAACTCTAGGGTCCCAAAGACTCATTTCTGGCAGAGTTTAGAGGAGAGAAAGAAAGACTTCTGCTGCTTTCCTTGCATATGCAGCCAAAAGCAGAAGCAGCAGAGATCCTGGGAAAATCCCAAAAAAAGGCTGCAGGAAAATCCCTCACCCCATTTTCCTACCAATCGATCATTCTTTCTTTGGGATCACAGGATACTCTCTCTCTCTCTCTCTCTCTCTCCTCTCCTCTCCTCTCCTCTCCTCTCCTCTCCCCCTGAGAACAGAGCTGAAAAGCAGGTTAGTGAAGTAATGTGGCTGCCTTGGAAGGGGTGGGAGCGTGTGTGTGTGTGTGTGTGTGTGAGAGAGAGAGAGAGAGAGAGAGAGAACATCACTGCCAGCCTTCCAAGATTAGATCAGATCTCTCTCTCTCTCTTTCTCCCCACTCCCCCCCCCCCCCCCCCCCGTGGCAGTGGTGGAGCTTCAGTGCTTGGCTGATGGGGAGCCAGGCAAGGTGCATCACTTGCTCTTTTTGGCTGCAAAAGAAGCAGCCTGGGGGGTCAGGCGAGACGTGAGGGGGGGAAAAGTAGGACACCCCTTGAAAAGACGGCTTAGTCATTTTTGGGGGGAGGGTGTCAAAAGAAAATAAGGCCCTGCCTTATTTTCCAAGAAACATGGTAGAAGGTAAGACCAATGGCGGGGAAGGGAAATCCACCCCGGGGTGGCTTGCTGACATTGGCGGGAAAGTCAGTCCGATATTCCAGAGCTGCAGTAGTCACAGGAGCAGCTCCGGGATGACCAAAGGGCCAGTCCTGTGACTACTGCAGCTCTGGAATATGGGACTGACTTTCCCGCCAATGTCAGCAAGCCACCGTCAGTCCAAATTCATATTAGTGGTCTGCGAAATTTGAAATTATGAGTTCTGAGGTCCAAAAGGTTTACGACCCCTGTTCTAAACTGTGGCTTGTTTCTTAGGAGCAATTTAAGCAACACAGACACACATGTACATTTTAACAAATAATTTCTGTTACTTTGATGAAATATCTTCCCAAGTGCTGATAGACATGCTGCTGACATTCCATCATATGGATATATATAGAATGCCTATCAGGCTAGTTTAAGTCCCTACACCAGGCTAACTTAGTGAAAGTTCTGAGATCATGCTATGCTCATATCCACAACTAAAGGCCTGGGATAAGTTGATATGTCCTCAGAATTAAGGGCATAAAATACGATTTACATGTATTCATCAATTATTGGTTTACAGTTTGTATATCCTTATTACGTAAAACATTATGAACAAATGTTTCCATCTTGAACCTTTCTTTCTATAGTGCTAAACCTCACGGGAACAGCTCTATGCAAGACTGAAATCAATAATTTTTTTCTCTATTCTACTTATAATAATACGACTGTGCAAGGTTTCAGAATGATCTGGAAAAGATGGTTTAGAATAGGCAAAGAAAAGCAACATAATATCTATCTGTGGTATATTAAAACAGCCAGGTCTTTTTTCACTGCAGCAGCATGATCCTGACAGCAGTTTCTAAAGCTCCTCTTCTAAAATGAATCCAAATCTTTAAACAACCCTAATCACGGATCGTAAAATGGGGCAAAACTCATTTAAGAACTATCTTACTTAGCACAGAAATTTTGGGCTCAGATGTGGTCATAAGTTGTGGACTAACTGTAGATATATATATTACAGCTTCTATGATATTGTCTCTGAGCCATACATTTTATCTATCTTAAAGATAAAGTAAAGGTTTCCCCTCTCCAGTTGTTTCCGATTTCCGGGGTCATGTGGCCAGCATGACCAAATGCCGAGGCACACAGTGTAAACTGTGCACTGAAATGGTACCTATTTATCTACTTGCATTTGCATGCTTTCAAATTGATAGGTGGGCAGGAGTAAGTAATGGGAGCTCACCCTGTCATGTGGCATTCCGGTCTTGCACTCATGCTATCAGCTTTCCAGCTGAAAAGCTCAGCGTCTTTAACCACTGAGAAGGCATTCCATTAATCCATTAATATTATTTATTAATATTTTTGAGGAAGAAAAGAAATGGTATTGTTTCAAGATAATGGTTTTAGAACTGTTAGATGCATTTTCCCAGCCAGGTACTTTTAACAGGGAAACTCTGAATCATAGACTACTAGTAAGGTTATGAGTTTGCTTATTTACTATTAGTGTGATGCTTAAAAACATAATTTGGCACTAGGGAGCATCTTCCACCTGATTCTTTTCCCAGGATTCATATGTCTGAAAAACATGCATGGCATGCCAACATAGAACCTCATTGGTCCACTGCATGATATCCAATGACACAACAGTGTTTGCTAAGACAACTGGAAAATCTTGAAGTATTAACTTTCCTGTCTTAACTGTAATTTAAATATAGAGGAAGCTTGCCTACAACTTGCTCGACTATTTTTTCTATAGATGAGTGGCACTGATAAGATAGCCACAATATCTAAGTTTAACCACATTCAAACAGAAATAATTTTTATACTTGCACAAGGAAATCACAAGGAAAATCAGTACAAAAAAAATGCAATGGGTTTCTACAGAAGCTAAAAGCTGCTAAAGCCCAACGTTATTACCAAGGTGTAGATCCAAGAAAGTTTAGCCAAATAATCTTGAAGATCAGAGGTGGTATTCAGCAGGTTCTGACCAGTTCTGGAGGACCGGTAGTGGAAATTTTGAGTAGTTCAGAGAACCAGTAGTGGAAATTTTGAGTAGTTCAGAGAACCGGAACCTCTGACTGGCCCTGCCCCCATCTATTCTCTGCCTCCCAAGTCCCAGTTGATCGGCTGGGTCTTCTTTTGTTACCCTGCACAGGAGAATGGAGCTGGAAAGCAGGTTAGTGGGGTGAGGAAGGAATGGGATTTTGCAGTACTCTTCCCCCTGGAGTGGGGAGGGAATGGAGATTTTATAGTATCCTTCCCCTGCCACACCCACCAAGCCATGTTCACCAAGCTACACCATGCCCACCAAGCCACACCCACAGAACTGGTAGTAAAAAAATAATAATCCCACCACAATTGGAGACCTTGTGAAGTGAAGGTAGAAAACAAGCTGTAAAAATCTGGAATACATGCTATGAAGAAAAATCTGGAATACATGCTATGAAGATGAAATCCTACTAACATGTGCACAAACCACATTTTTTTTTGTCCTTCCCAAATCCAGGGGGAAGGTTTCCACCTTTCTAGCTTCATGATTCTTTACTTTGGGCCTTCTTTTCTCCTGGGCTGATGACTTTGCAGCTCTGGTGAATGTATTATCTCAGGACTGATTAATGCATGTTCTGCAGCCTGAGGAGCCACCGAGAGAAATGGCCACTATTCATATTACAGACCACTTCATTCTCCCACTGAACTGTATCTTCACTTAGTGTAGTGGCAGAAACTAAAGAAGGTTTTACAGTCAGATTGGAATGGAAAAGAATTAAGAGAGGAGCAGAAAGGAAACAAAAGAGGAAACTACGGAACTGATATGTTTAAAACTGTCTTACTCTCTTAAACCACAATTTCCTCTGAAATCTTCATTAAGTATATCCGTGATAGCGAACCTATGAGTGGCACGCAGAGCCATTTGTGCTGGCATGAGAGCTGCAGGCAAACTTACCTCATTGCGCATGCACGTGCCTCACAGCTGCTTTTCAGCCTGTTTGAGGCCATTTTCGGCCTTCCAGAGGCTTGAGGATGGCCTCCGCAGGCTTTGCAGGCCAAAAAATAGGCCCGTTTCATCACTTCATGTATTTCCGGAAATACCAGAAGTGATGAAATGGACACATTTTTCAGCCTGCAAAGCCTGCAGAGGCCTTCCTCAAGCCTCTGGGAGGCCGAAAAAGGCCTCAAACAGGCCGAAAATCAGCTGTGAGGCACAGTGCAGGTAAGGGGAGAATTGCATGCATGTGCACAGGGGGCGTGGGGCGCGCGCATGCATTGCCTTCTGGGTGCTGGCAGGCAAGCACACGAGCATGAGCACAACACAATTTTGGGCACAGGAGCCCAAAAAGGTTAGCCACCACTGAAGTATATGATAAAACACAACAAAAGACAATAAAGGATGATGGTCCCAAGGCTCTTTTTGTAAGACTTAGTTTTGTTGCATCCCAACTCTGAATACAAATGCAGATGACCTATATACAAACTGTGTATGTATAACTATGAGTTGATATCAAGCTGGACAAGGAAGAAAGTGCTGTGCAGAGAGTTCCAGTGCAGTGGATTTAAAAAAAAATTACTAGGAGAAAAGAGTACCTTTTCAGTAGCTAAAGATAATTTGGATATTTATT